TTGAAGCAGTTACATAAAAAGGTGTTGTAAGCAGTAATTATAGCAGGTGTAAATGCACATTTAAAAATGTAGATTTTTTTTTTTATATTAACTCAAAATAACACTTTTTATGGGGGTCACATGGCCTTAAACAAGTTCTTCTTGTTTATTTAGTATCTATATAATTGCTATAGTGGGTATAATATATAGTTTCAATATTAGTTTTAGTTTGGATTAACATGTGATTTATATGTTTGCACAAATCTTTAGATGCCAGAGTTAATATGTGGATTTTGTCAAAGATTTGTGAATTAGTTAATAAAATAAAACATTATTATGCATTTAAAGTGATATTTAAAGGCCTTCACATGATATCAGGTGATACATTTTAAAGTAGAATACTTGCATAGCCTGTTATATACAAATGGTCTGTTGGTGTGTAGTTACAATCTCAAATGTTTGGACAAAAAGTTTGTACTGTCTGTAATCCTGGTTAGTTCTTAGTTTCTACCTCAATATTTTTTGGTTGGTTGGAGAAGAGTACATTTTTCCGTCTAATAATGCGAGTGATTGATGTGGTGTCAGGTGATTCGAGTGGAGGTGAGGAGAGCTTCTGTCTGGCGTTGGCAGAGGAGAGTTGCACGTGTGTGTTGCCCGGCTGCACTTCCAGGGCTTGGGTTTCTGGCGCCACATTCAGACCTGTGTAGCTGTGCCAGCGTCAGGTCAGCGCAGTGAATCAGAGGTTACACAGTATCCCACTGTTAAGATTGTTCTCACCCAGATTTAGTTTCTCATCATTTGCCATTGTCTGTTGAGATCCCGGGGGGGCAATAATAGGTTGTTTTTCATTCCATTTTTTTTCTAATATTTTTTTCAATCTATGATAATATTCATATTTCGTATTTATTGTTTATCATATATTTCAATTAGAACAGCAGCCATTTCTTCATGTGCGATATTACCATTACCTCTATACACAAACCCAATTATTGCTTCTTGTTGTTTAGATGGAATTGTGGACTGCATGTTGACATCATAATGGCCATATGTGCATCAAAGTCTTAATTTGTTTTGGGTAATGTCAGATTAATCAGAAACGGGGGGTGTAGAGTGTTTTGTGTGAAGCGGGGGCCATGGGATAAAAGGTTGTGTATGTTTTTGTTGAACTTGTTACAACGGCCATGCCCTGGCGGGGGGTGGACTGTGCCGATTTGCCTTTACTCTGCACACACTAGAGCTGTCAAGACACGTTAGCCTGAACCAGAGTTATAGCACTAACCAGCTAACGTGAGGCTAAGGGGGAGCGCTGGGCTGGGCTTTCAGACAAGATTCTCAGAGAGCAACCAACGGAGGAGCGCCAACAGAGAAGCTGATGGATGTCTGGAAACACAAGGGCCATGTGGGGGGAGGAGAGAAGGAGAAGGAGACGTTTTTTTAGGCCCGATTTGATTTGTCATGTGATTCCTGAAGTGCTTTGTGTGAGGTGTTGCCAGCATCTGTCCCAGTTGGGGTTGATTAGGATCAAGTTGTTAAATGTGGAATGAGTGGTGACAGAATCCGTGGGGGACCAGAGGAAGAACAAGGTGACGAAGTGCTATGACTAAAATGCGGTCAACTTCAAGAGCTCTTCTCTTTTTGATCTTAACTTCTCTCTAATTTGCTTTTGCGATGGTTAAATAGTAAAAACGTTCACACAGTTAACAGTGCCATGGTCAAAACTTTCTGTATTGTCTTTTTCATGTATTCATTTTGCCAATTTATTATTGTAACTAAGGCTGCAGCTTTTGATAATTCCATCTATTATTACATATGAGTAAATGAGTAATCGATTCATCATATTAATGAAGTATGAATATTATAATTGATTTTTGTTTTCAAAGACAGACATTTGAGGCCAGTTTTTTAAACACTCAGATAACATTTCTCCCCATTTTGAGCAAATTCTTTCACATTTATTGCCAAAAACAAAACATGTCAAACAGTTGTATTCCTCTAGTGTTCCACATCATCAAAACCGATAATAGCTGTTTTTGCAAATTCACTTTTCAATGTATTTAAAAAAAAACAAAAAATCCTGAATCCTTATTTCAAACTGCTCAGTTTTCACAGCAGACTGGGCAGTCTTCACACCAGTGTTGGCACCAGATAGAAACTTGTTTGTGCCAACACTGCTGGAATCAGTTCTGTGCCAAATTTCTCATATTTCAACAAATGATCCTATTTAATTGAGGCAAAGTAATTATGATCCATATTTTTTCAGTGAATGTTTTCTTCACTAATCGAAACAAAAAATGATGAAATAAAATGCCTTCCTAACTATACTATAGAGTATTGTGGATGTGCTTGCAATGATAACTTTTTTTTAATCTCTCTTTTACAGACTTCTTTCACCCTTTCCTGGGCTGCTTATTTATTAGCACGTTACCCGCACATACAGCAACAAATCCATACAG